TGCAAGGTAAAGACCCCATGACTCTTGTATTCTGTATGCTCATAACACCAGCAATATGTGGATGATGTCAAGGTCCACTGCCAGCTCAAGCAGTATCCAGGCTTACTTCGATCATTGCTGCAGAGGCCTCTGAGTGCCTGGATGCCTGCTCACTGTGAACTGAATCCTAAAGAACCAATTCCCTATGTGGCCCTTTCTGAGAAGGAGCCCCGGGGCTCTCTTTTCAAATTAAAGGTTCACAACTTTGCACTCTTGAGCTTTACATGATCAGCATCTTACAGATTCTTGACAAGTCCTCAAGGCATCTTTCCTATTGTTCTGTTGCAAGGTACTTGGCTTTATTTTTTTTTTAACACAATCTTTTTTTTATTCATACATGTTTGCAGTACATGCATTTTACAATCATCCTGGGGAGTGGGTACATGTTTTTTAATGCACCTCCCCTTCTCTTTCCCTTCCCTCCTCCTCTAACTCCCCTTTTCCAATATTAATTCTTGTTAAAATTATCAAACTTAGGGCCAGGAATTTAGCTCAGTGGTTCTGCCGCCTGTCCCATAAGTGCAAGGACCCGAGTTTGATCACCAGTGCCAAAATAAAATAAAATTATCAAACTTAGCTCATATTTATGACATATAATGTTTACCTTCATTGAAGTTATTAGGTTCCTGTACATGGCTTATCTGTATTCTACTTACATCCCCATCTGCTCCCCTAACCCCTCACCCTTGGTCCTACATCTTCCCCAAAGATCTTAAGACATCGTACCGCAGCAATACATGCATACCTATGTTTATAGCAACACAGTTCATAATAGCTAAATCCTGGAAGCAGCTTGTAAACCCATCAACAGACGACTGGATAAAGAAAATGTGGTATCTATATATAATGGAATACTACTCGTCTATAAAGAAGGACAAATTTGAAACCTTTGTAAGAAAATGCATGCACCTGGAAAATATAATGTTGAGTCAGATAAACCAGATACATAAGCTTAAATACCATATGATAGCTCTCATTTGAGTGAGGCCAAGTAAAAACAGCAAGAATAATGAAGGAAGGATAGAAAGAGACAGGGGCTGATCTCTTGGCTTCTTTTCAATGCTAATCCTTTTAGCAATGAGGCTCTTTACAGCACCAAATGTGCAAGCAATTCCTTTTTGGCTGAACTCTAAACATTTTAGATAGGCTTTTTGCTGCTGATTTTTAATGTAGATAAAACTAAAATTTACCAACAGTACCCTTGCCACATCCTGAATGCTGGCTGCCTTGAAATTTCCTTCACCACATTAATTAGTATGCTACCCTTAATCTCAGTCTCTCACAAAGTCTCAGGAAATAAGCAAAGTGTAGAGCAATCTTCTGCCAGAATGTAAAGAGATGGAAGAAAGAGAAAGGGAATGGGAAAAAAACAAGAACCAAGATATATCACGTACAGGTACAAATTCCCAACGATGAATGTGATAATGGATATCTAAAATGTATCAATAAACTTAATTTAAAAATAAAAAAGAACGTAATGGTCCTGAGTCCAACTGTCAATGGAGTCCTTATTTCCAGATGTAACCTCCTGAACCTGGTCTTCACCATCTGCATTTCTATGAGGATTCTGGTCTTCTGAGCTCTGACCAGATGTCTCACCAAGCTTAGCACATAGGCTTTCAGGGCTTCTCTAGCAGACATCTCAAATCTTTCCAAACTTGCAAACCAGTTCCAAAGAACTCTAGAACCACATTGTCAGGTAGTTGTAGCAACAACCAGTACCAAAATCTGTCTTAGTAACTTTTCTCATCACCGAGACATTACAACCAACATCCACAACTTAAAGGAGGAGAGGCTTATGTTGGCTCACATTTTCAGTCCATGGTAGGCTGGCTCCAAGGCAGAAAGAGATGGGGGAACAGGAAAGCTCTTCATGTCATGGAGGAGGCCAGGAAGCAGACAGAGAAGGGAGGACCCAGGGAGGAAGATAAATCCATTTATAATCATTCCACCTATTTCAGCAAATTAGTACCACTCATTTAATGTTTGACATTTATAGATCATGTTTCAGAGACGTTGTGTCACTTTGACCCTTGATAAAACTCTGAATGTAAAGGGGGATTGTTATTATTGCTATTGTTGAGAAAAAATATAGGTAAGGCTTATAGCACTTAAGTGACATGCTTGGAGTTATGCAACTAATTAAGAGCAGAGAGAGCACCCATGACTGTGTGAATAAAATATTGAACTGTGATACATTTATCTCTGCTATGCACAGGGACTCTTGCAGCCAAGAGAAAGTAACAGCAGAAAATTTGTCGTCTCATAAATTTCCATAGTAATTCCAGAACTTCACTATAAACTAAATTGTAAAATTCCAGATGGACTCTTATTATATACTTGCCGTATTAAGACATGGAGTCCTTAGAAGGTCATATTAATTGTTCAGTCTGTTGTGATTGTTTCATCAGTGCTGTAACAATTACGGCCTTAGTAACACTCTGTGGTGTCAGAGTGTTAAGCAGTTAAGACAGCAGAGAGACAAAAGCTGACTGAAGGAGAAGCCTTTCATGGAAAAGGAATGGCCCTGAGTCCTGAGTCCTCCCTGCATCACCCTGGTATGAAGGAATGCCACCCTTCAAATATTTGTGCTCCCTTCTAAGAGGATGCTTTCCATTTTTAATTAACAGTGTCTGCATAACTTAGCACTTATTATTACTCTGAAAATTCAGGGCCTCTAATACCAACTAGGTATGTTAATATCACATACATTTACTGTTTTTCCTAAAATTTCCAGATTCTCCAATATGATCTGTCTTAGCTAGCAATCTCTAGGCATAGTTCCTCACTATGTTAATGCCTAACAATTTCATATATTACTGAATAAAATATAATTCTTCAAGTGGGAAGGGAGACAGAATATCTAAGCAAAAGGGGAGGATGTTAGTTTTTGTTTAAGATTATTTACTCAGCAGCCTGTGATCAAGAAGTTGCTTAACCTCTTCTATAACCTCAAATTTCTTCTGCATATAGAGATGATATAATGTGTTTCATGTATTCCTATACTTATTAATACTTAGTGAGATAATATATATTTGAAAGACATAAGACTAAGTTTTCCTTTAATTATTTTTATATTGAAAAAGTCATGCATGTCACTGGTTTAAAAAAGGAAGAGTAGAAAGAGAGAAAACAAATAAATAAATAAATAATGAGGAAGAGTCAGAGTAAGAAATAGCTCAGTTAGTGTGAATTATATAGAATCATTATTAATTACTACAAATTATGATAAGAATCAGATAACTATGGATAAATCTCTTACTTGCCCTTCTAGTTTAATCCATTAAACAAAAGACTGAACTACTGGATTTCAAATGCCTGTTTTTCAATTTAAATTTTATATATTATTTCTAGAAGACATTTTATAAATATTATCCTAAAGCTAGAATATTGCCCTGTGGTTTATCCAAAGGAATGTGGAATAATACTCAAGTGTCAAAGATGATATTTAACAACTGATATTTTAGTCAGAGTTAATTAAAATTAATATTTCACAGAATATATATACAAACAGTTCTGTTCCAAATCCCCATGAATTTGTACAATGAAGAGAAAAAAGTAGTACTTATAAACAAGTCAGAATTCTGATCTTATAGTTATGTTGGCTTTTAAGGATTTATTAGAATAATGATAGGCAATAATAATGGAATTATTTTGTTTGAACAAATCGGAGTAATAATGGCTAAAAAAAAAAGGATTCTAAAACAATTCTACTGATGGTGAGTTCCATTCTGTTAACTACATTCTCCTGATTAAAAACTTCCATGTCTCCCAGTGAACCATTTCTTTCTATGCATATAAAATACACACACACAAACACACACACACACACACACACATATACACCTGTGACATCATATAATGACTTATTGCATGAGATAATTATATCCTATAATAATCTGTATTTTTGTGCTTGGCTTTTATCTTATAATCTACTAATGTACAGGTTTTTACATCAAAGACAGGACACCAGTATATCTCTTTTAACAGCTGTATAATGTTTCCTTATAAGACTATTCCAAAATATATTTAGCAATTCTTTATCAATCATCAAATTTAATATTTCAGGATTTTTTGCTATAACAACATTACAGAATGAACATTTTTTAGTAGACCTCTGTAGCTGAAAAACAAATTTCAAGATACAGAATTCCCAAGTTTCCTAATAAATTTAAGGTTTTATACATTTTTAGTTGAATTATTATTTAAAATTTTCATAGAAACAAATAAATTTTCCTCCATGGATGTTAGCTCCATATTCATACCAAAGCATTTAAGAATACTTAAATACTTTCTACTCTAAGTAGAAAATATTTCAGTTGCTTGAGTTTGCATTTTAAAATTATGAGATTATTTCTTTACATATTTAAATGTCTTTAATGTTTAATTTTTCATTTGTCTAACTAGCAGGCCAATATTTTAGATTGTTAGTTTTTGTCATTACTTTTTTCAAAACTCTTTTATATTAAGAAAAAAATGAGTACTTTTCTTTTATGTATTGTACACATATTTTTTCTACTGTTTATTTTTGTTTGTTTCTATGCATCAATTTTAAATAATTATATGGTAATACATATATTTTTCTATATGGTTTATGTATGATTATGTATGGTTATGTATTTATGTATGGTTATGTATTTGGGGTCTTATTATGGTCAAACTCCTGCTCAAAGGGTTGCTTTTTTATTTTAAAATGCTTAAAGATAATTTGCTATCCAAAGCAGAAAAAACTATTTGTTTAAACATTACTAGTGCCATGAAAAAGGGAACATATTTTCTACATGGATTTCAAATGATAATCCACTGCTCCACCTGTACCCTAAAGCATTGCTTTGTAATTAGTGCTATCAGAATTTAAAGATTTCTGAATTTTGAAGTAAAAACAAGTAATTTCTCATTACTTAATCTTTTCTCTGCCATACAGCTCACAGTAATTTTGACTAGAGGGGTGGAGATTGGACTAGCTTTTCCCTCAGATACCTTTTCCCCAGAAATGTGTCATCACTCTTTTGACGAACTCTTAACTTCCTGTCTTGAATTCCCACCATACTTTATCAACGGTCACCCAACTTTGACAAGATTATTTGAAAAATGGTGATGATAATTTACTTAAGTTCAACAGACTTACAAAGTGCACTTAAGTTTAATAATTGTGTTTTTATCAGCCTATCTTTTTCACCAGAGCTTACATTTCTCACAGGCAGGGACTTCATCTTAATCAACACTGAGAGCTCAGAATGAATCATGATGCCTGAATGAAGTGGCTCCATGGGTATGTGAGGACAATGTGAAAGAATTAGTATCTGAACAAATTTGAGTTTTACAGTCTCACCCCTCTCACTGATGTAGTATATGATCTTACATCAGTTTATTCATGTTTTGGGGCTACAGTTTTCTCTTCAATAAAACTGAAGGTTTGGCAGAAAGCATAGTAAGATAATACATTTAATAGCAGTTTGAAACAATACTTTCAGAAAATGGGTATAATCCTATCACTATGATTTAATAAGCAATAATTATTTTGCAAGATATAGAATACTGGAAATGCTACAGTTAATGCTAGACAATTACAGTTGCAAAACAGAAGTCAAATAAAAAAATTTTCACTGAGGGGTAATAAATTTACATTGGGTAATAAAGTATTTTTACATTGTCTTTATTATGCCCATCACTAATATCATAAAAAAGGCTTAAGGTAACCAGGATGAGAACTTCTATTGATCATAAAAGTCACACATTCAGTTTTATGCTTTCTCTCATAATTTTGTCCTTTCATTGCTTTATGAATTTTTATATTCTTTCCAGAAATTTCTGGATGCTTTGGAAAGTTTTATGCATAATTTTGGTTTATTTAGTTTAACTCATCAGGATTATGCTTTGTTTATTGATTGAAGGGATAAGTAGAAAGATGCTAGATAAATAGTCATATCTATATATGGTCACATTCACAATGTTATTGAACTTTGCTAGTTTGAAAGGTCCTTTTGAATCCTCCATTTAAAATCTTTTCCTTCTATGTAGGGAATTGTACAATAAACATGCAAAAGAAGGAACATTTTGGGGTAAAAGCAATTCAAAGGGAAGAAGCCTGATGCATTTTACAACAATGTTTATATTGTATTTGTTAATTTTATTCTATCTTTTTACAGGTTTAAATGCTTATTTGACCACTTGTCTACTGAATGCAAAATGAATAATTCAACAAACTCCTCCAATAATAGCCTGGCTATTAGCAGTCCTTATAAGACATTTGAAGTGGTATTTATTGTCCTTGTGGCTGGATCCCTCAGTCTGGTGACTATTATTGGGAACATCCTGGTCATGGTTTCCATTAAAGTCAACCGCCACCTGCAGACTGTCAACAATTACTTTTTGTTCAGCTTGGCCTGTGCTGACCTCATCATAGGTGTTTTCTCCATGAACTTGTACACCCTCTACACTGTGATTGGCTACTGGCCTCTGGGACCTGTGGTGTGTGACCTTTGGTTAGCTTTGGACTATGTGGTCAGCAATGCCTCAGTCATGAACCTGCTCATCATCAGCTTTGACAGATACTTCTGTGTCACAAAACCTTTGACCTACCCAGTTAAGCGGACCACGAAAATGGCAGGCATGATGATTGCAGCTGCCTGGGTCCTCTCCTTCATTCTCTGGGCTCCAGCCATTCTCTTCTGGCAGTTCATTGTAGGGGTGAGAACTGTGGAGGACGGGGAATGCTACATTCAGTTCTTTTCCAATGCTGCTGTCACCTTTGGCACTGCCATTGCAGCCTTCTACTTGCCAGTAATCATCATGACTGTGCTATATTGGCATATATCCCGAGCCAGCAAGAGCAGGATAAAGAAGGAAAAGAAGGAGCCCGTGGCCAACCAAGATCCAGTGTCTCCAAGTCTGGTGCAAGGAAGAATAGTAAAGCCAAACAACAACAACATGCCCAGCAGTGATGGTGGCCTAGAACACAACAAAATCCAGAATGGCAAGGCCCTCAGAGGTGCTGTGACAGAAAACTGTGTCCAGGGGGAGGAGAAAGAGAGCTCCAATGACTCCACCTCAGTCAGTGCTGTTGCCTCTAATATGAAAGATGATGAAATAACCCAGGATGAGAACACAATATCCACTTCCCTAGGCCATTCTAAAGATGAAAATTCTAAGCAAACATGCATCAAAATCGTCACCAAGACACAAAAAGGTGACTCATGCACCCCGAGTCATACCACTGTGGAGCTAGTTGGATCTTCAGGTCAGAATGGAGATGAAAAACAGAACATTGTAGCCCGCAAGATTGTGAAGATGACTAAGCAACCTGCAAAAAAGAAACCTCCTCCTTCCCGGGAAAAGAAAGTGACCAGGACAATCTTGGCTATTCTGTTGGCTTTCATCATCACCTGGGCCCCATACAATGTCATGGTGCTCATTAACACCTTCTGTGCACCCTGCATCCCTAACACAGTGTGGACAATTGGTTATTGGCTCTGTTACATCAACAGCACCATCAACCCTGCCTGCTATGCACTTTGCAATGCCACCTTTAAGAAGACCTTTAAACACCTCCTTATGTGTCATTACAAGAATATAGGCGCTACCAGGTAAAAGAGTCTGGAAAAGAAGGAAGGAGGTCAAAGGGAGCTTGAGAAGAATAAAAAGGATGAAAGAGCCCCCACGTTTAAGATCTCTGCCATTGCACTTTATAGTCTCATTATGGAATGTGCAATTAAGGAGCTCAACTGTGACACTTCGCTCGTGCCCATGTTTTAGTCTGATAAAACTTGTATCTTATCAAGCCAGTCAGTTAGGAGCAAGGGGACAATGAGACATGTTGGCATTGCTGATTTAAGGGGCAATTTCTGCTGTCTCGTACTTTTCTGAGAAGTACTTCTGAATCTGCAGTTGTACCAGTCTCTGCACAAGAAGAATAACGTTGATCCCTTTTTGTTTCTTTGTTGTTGTTCTCATGGGTCTGTGCATAAGGATGAAATGGCACAGCTGCAAGCTGACATGGAGACTGGAACATACAGAAATGGACACCACACAATGGAGATGTGAGGAGAGCATTCAAAAGGAGGCAGACATGGTCTCCAGAGTATTGAGTGTGTTCTGTTCTTGTTGGAGGACATTATTTGCAGGATTGTAATGTAATCAATGCATATTTTTTCACCTTTTCTTTTTCCTACCATAAAAAGCAAACAAATAAACACAGAACTCCATGTAGGTCACGCCATTTTTTTTTCTTGTTACAGCATTAATTTTTGTACCTTCCTGCTCTACATTGTGTATAAGTAAAATCTGCAACATTTTCAGTAAATCTAGTTAGAACCAGCCATGCATATGGGCACTTCAGCCATCTCTACTATGTCCTCGGTATTCTTGGTGGTTACAAATCTCTATAAGCATTTAGTTCACCTCTGATGTTTTGTGTAGAATTTTTTCACCAATATGTTTTTTCCCCTGAAGTAGCCTTTATTTTAACAGAATAGTCTACTGGAAACATAAATGTGCTTGAGGAAAAAAGGCATTCCAAAATTAATTTCATCAATTAAAAAACGTTCAATCTAGTTGGAGAAAGTTCACTGGGGCCAGAGGAATTTTGAGATGAGAAAATAGACAGTGAAAAGGGCACTGTGCTTGACCCGGAATCTCCGTGACCCATGTATGGAATGTTAACTTGTATAACATGAACTCCTGACTTTGCAGGCAGGAAGATGTTGCTTTGTCCACTTGGAATTTTAAACATGATTAGTTTGCTGGGACAGTCCCAAGAGACTAAGACCTTCTGCTCGATGCCTGCCAATGGATGATATTTAAATTATTATCAAGGATGACTGTAACCATTCTGTGACAGAGTGAAAGAGGAAAATGTAATTCACAAATATTTACTGAAACTATATATCCCATGTTCCTCAAATTGTGAATTCTCTTTAAGATCATTTGCCTTTAAAATTCTCCAAGCTGTAGAATTATAGTAATCTTTGTGATAGAAATATAGTGGCTAAAGATACCAAACAAGTTCACAGAATATGACAGAAAAATGTAAGTGGTCCTTCACACCCCTTCTCACCATCTAATTCTAGACCATGAAAAACCCATGTCAGAAATGATTATTTAAGTGGTAGCATTACATGAAATACTATGTTGGGACTTTTTATTTGATAGTCAAACTAAATACAAGATTTTATTGATTCCCATTTAACTGTTTAGTTTACCTCTTGTACCCTTTTTTGTATTATTCACTCTTGTCTTCCAATAACATTTTCTAAAAATGACCTAAATGATAGAAATTAAATTTATAAATGCCTTTTCAAACTTCATATTCTGCTTTATAATATCTTGCCCAGTAATACCGATATGAGCTACATGATGAATATATGTCAGTATTAAGCCTCAGAACTTATTAGCACTATTTTATATGACTTTTGTCATTACTGGCATCTCAGTAATTTGGGGAGTCTTTAAAAAAATAAGCACAAGGGAAATGAAAAACAAATGTTGTAAATAAGAAGCCAATTGCCAACAATATTTGAACATATTCCTTATAAAAATAACTCCATGTTCAAATTATTTCATTTGTCTCTCCCCAAAATCTTTATGTGTGCACTTATAGCATCAGTTCATTAAATCCATTTAGTCCACAATTATACCGCTGCATACTTTTACATTTTTAAATCCATATTTTTTCTTCAAATCAACCAATGAATTGAGCAGAAAGAACAACAAGCCAATGGGCTTCTTGATTTTCTGTGAACAACAAAAAAAATAGCCTACTGTTTCACTTTTTAAACATGTTACAGTAACTTGATATAGGTTTAACTTCAGTTGGGATAAACCTTTGGAGCCCTGAATTCAGGTTTGGAGATTTTGTTAGCCCTCTCAGCCAAGTCATCATGAGCCCACCTGTCTCACTCTCATTGACCCTGCATCCTTCCCTTTCTCTGTTTGTTCTTGATATGTGCCCAAGCTATAACTTTATTGAAAGAGGAACTGTAACATTCAAGAAAAAATTAAAAACAGATGATACTATGGAAACCTTTGCAATAAGAATCGGAAAATAGGAAGGATGATTGTAGATAAGTGGAGCAATAGAGACTATAGTCAAAGACTTGCATTAACTGTTGCTGGTTTTGCTTATTCCAGTGATGCTCAGTCATGGGCAACTTTCCTTCCAGGAGACACCCTCAATATGTAGAGAAATTTTCAATTGTCAAAACTGGGAGGAAGCATGGTATCCAGTGTGTAGGAGGCAGGCTTGTTGCTGTGGCTGCTGAGCAGGCTATGATGCGCAGGATAGACTCCATGCCCTTTCCAAACAAAAACTAGTTGCCTCAAAGTATCAATAGTGTCAAGGCTAAGAAACTCCTGTTTTTATTAAATTTCTAAAGTTTATCTCCTGTGAGTGGGAAAATAATTTTAGTCTAGTTTTAGATCAATGAAATTGCTTTCTGTTGGGAAAAAAAAAGGAATACTCACCAATCATGTGTCAGAAACTCCCCTTCATTGACTCTGATATAATTGTAATGCACTGCTTGAGAACCACGCCACATCTGTATATTCAAACTCACCAGAACATCCACATTACTTCCAGCATTTTAGTGTCTGATCATAATCACCACAAAGTATAATTACGAGATTGCAGCAGTTACTTACCAAAATGGTTGCAGTTGATAACGGTCAGTTTCAGCTGGAGCTGCCATTTTTCCTTTCAACATAATGAAACATGCCTTTAAAAGCAATGATTCATTTCTTTTGTTTTCCCTTGAAACATCAGTATATGTCCAGTATTTATTTCTTCTCTTCTTGCAGCAATAATGTAAATATAATAGAGTGATCTTGTAAGAAGATGAATTTAAGAATACAAGGAGACCCAATTCATTTCTTAACAAAATAAATGATTGTCCTTTTGCCAGTCCACCATTAATTTAACATCGGATCGCAAGTTTTTCGTCTAAGTCATCAAAATAATAAATCACCAGGTATTTGAGTTGTAGAAGCTGGAGGTCCCACCTACTCCTGCTTTTTGTCTACTCATTGCTTTTCAATTCAGAAAAGATGACACTGGGGGAGATAGAAGTTCATATTGATGGCAACAGTTACTTAGCAATGAACTCTACTTTTATTTTCTCCTACTTAGTTCATGGACAGTTACTTCCTCCCCACCAGTTTGATAATATCCCTTTCAACAACCATAGCATTGGCATTCAAATAGATTAGGAAAGCACCCACAGCTGGATGGACTTGTGCAAAGTATATTTTCAGCATGTATATACAATACCACACCTCTTCAATATGCTTCTGTTAAAGAGGTGGATGCTGTAGCATGAACTGTGTGCATATTTAATGTATCTTTCTGGAATATGCTGTATGCTTAATATATATATTCTATAAATATTATAATAAAATGTACAATAGAAATACATATTTCTGTATGCAAATAAATATATTATACACAAAATCTTAATATGCAGTGTGGTATATATTGCTTCACAGTAGTAACAGTCGATTTCATGTGCCCCAATTTCCAAGAAAGTAGTATTTGCATTTAAAAAAAGAGACTTAAGAAGAGCTAAAATCCTCTATTAAACTGTGTCATAATCTTGGAAAGCCTAACACTGATTTTAAATATCTCCTGGAGAAGTAAATTAATAAATTGTGCTGGCATCACCCTGCATGATAACCATGCTTTCTTCTGTGCCCTGACAGGCCTGTGATGAGCAGCTTCACAGCTGGTGTGGGTCCAACAGCTGTGTTGATCGCGTGTCTGATTGCCTGATGAGGCTGCAACCAACTCAATCTCATACAGTTTCACTCTTTTTCAAATTGACTGATTTTAGTGAAATAAAAAATAATCAGACTGGGAAAAAAGATGACCTTCAGAATTTTTTTTTTATCTGACAAGGTAAAAATTCTACAAGCACTGTATTGTATAAACCACTCTTTCAATTTGGGCCCAATACACCATCCCATACATTAAATGCCAAAATATTAAATGAACTATAAAATGCGAGTTTCCTCATGAAATTACAAAACAATTTGTTTCTAAATGTCCTGCATTTTCCCCATAGTGATCCTCCTCCATTCTTCATTGTCCATACAACTATCCACATTCCTCAGAGCATTACCTTTGGTCCAATTAGTACAGATTTATTATTATAAGTTGATACTTTCATTCCTTCCCAGGAGATGCCTGTATTTTAAGAGGAAAATTGTAAACTGTCAACATGTGAAAGGTTATTATTACAACCCTTAGACACCAAACTATGGCCCCAATTTCCTCCGGGGTGTCTTGGGCTCCCTCATAGCTTGTCCACTGTATGGCCAGCATTGGCCTATTGTTGCCCTATGAAAAGTTCACTTAAGACCTTGTGGGAATAGGAGCATGCACAATTTTCAGTCAGGCATTTGTCATAATTAACTACTGTCCAAAATCAAGAATTAGAGCCTCACAAGTTTTAAAAAAAATAAACAATCTAGAGCCTAAAAGCAGTTTGTTGAACACAAAGTGTGTAAATGAGAAACTCCATTCAATCCATAGTTTGGGAGGACCAAGAAGTGATAATATTCTTGAAAATTTTAACATTATGTAATGGAAACTAAAGTTTCTATTTAATGTGTATATACCTACTAGGAAGCAAATTTTAATAGACAAGTAGCATTCCTTCGCTACGTAAATATGAACTATTTTACGTAACTTACAACTTTGGCTTTCATCATCACCTGGGCCCCATACAATGTCATGGTGCTCATTAACACCTTCTGTGCACCCTGCATCCCTAACACAGTGTGGACAATTGGTTATTGGCTCTGTTACATCAACTTACAACTTTGGGTTACAAGGTTATACTAGCTATAATGAATCTTAAAATGCTGTTAAGACAAAGGAATATGGTCTCTCTTATTTGCTTGATGAAAAGTAATGCATCTTCATTAGAGAGAGGCACATATAATATAAAATCCTAGTATTTCAAAGATCTTATAATATGACAATTATTTAAATTAAATGAATGTGAATTCCCATCATATAGTAAGATTTAATAAATGAAATGTACACATTGGACTAATTTTAAAATGTATACATATATTTTTTTAATTTTTTTTTTTTTGGTACTGGGGATCAAACTCGGGACCTTGCTCTTGCGAGGCAGGCAGCGGCCTGAGCTAAATCCCTGGCCCTAAAATGTATATTTTTGACGCCATGTTTTTTATTCTTTAAATTGTCTAAGTATAATTTTTGATGGCATGGTTAAAGACAATTCAATATTTATAAATTGAATTAGATGTATACATTTTAACTATAAACTGCACATATTTATACAAGTTTATATACTTATATCCACACTGTACATTTTATTTATACAAGAAAGAGAACATATTTAAAGGATAGGACATAAGGGATAGGACGGAATTTAATGGAAAATTGTTCACAAAATCAAGGAATGAGCTATGTATCAGTGGAAAATATTCAGCATAGCAAAGGAGTGTTGTCCTGGGTGTGACAGTGCACGTATGCAGAGACATTCCAGCTTCCAAATTTAGTGCTAAGGAAACAGTGATGCCAAATTTCAGAAAGAATTGGAAAATAACAATTACACACCATGTTCATAGGTGTTTTTCTCTTAAACTATCATCCTAAATGAAGAATTATTGTCAGAAAGCACAAAAAATAAAACATAAAATGTTTTACTTGTTTTCAGAAAATGATCATCATGTTTAGAACACAGTTGTGAACATTTTAAGAGATCAGACTGGATATCCCTGAGTCCTCTGTAGGAAAGAATGCCAATCAGTGCTGGCAAAGCACAATTTTAACACAACTAAGTGGGTACTGACTCTGCCCTTGAAGATTTTCATTTTACTTTCTCTAGCAAATAGAGACTATTCCAGGCTATTCTTTCTATCCTCTGCCCTACACTTCTTAAATTCCCAAGATTTTGGATAGAAGGAGGACAGGCTTGTTCAGGTTCTAAAGAAGTACTTTGTTGGCTAAGTATGTAGGGAGACTTTCCCATTTTTGTGTTCTTTTCCCAGTTGATATTGGGACATAGGTGTGAAATTCTTTTCCTTTTTCCAAGAAATGAAAAGAAATCTAAAACCCTCACAAACTAACATGAAATATTCCCAAGCATATGTAGACCAAGAAGGACCATGGTGGCCAGGATTGTAGCTGATCATGTTCTTGCTGTGAGGCAATGTCACCGCCCATCCTGAGACGCGCTCATATGGATGTACTCATGTACTCAAGACCTTTTGAATTGGGGGATTAGTAGAACCCAAATTTACTGTCTAGACACACCTCTCTATAGTCTCCTTGAAGATCATAAAGGCTGAGCCTCAGCCTTCCCAGCAGGGGACAGTTCAAATTCCTAGGTTCTTTATCCTTAGCACCATCCCATATCCTCCTCCTCTCCCAATGGGCTGCATCCGCAGCCTCAGATTTTATTATCATACATGGGAGAAGACATAAATATCAAATATCATCACTAGGCCCATCTTCCCCATTGCATGCCAGATCAGACTTTTATATTTTATTGTCCAACTACCCAGGCAGCCTTCTTGGACATATCACATATACCTCAAACTACCACATCCAAAATCATAATCTTGATACCACTCACAAACTGGCTCTATTCTATTGGTTCCTATCCTTTCATGCATTCCAGTTGCATAAACTGGAAAACAAAGCATTGTCTTTAATTTCATCCCAGTCATAGGTTAAGTTCTTCCATTTTCAATTTAGGAACAACAAATTCGTCAAATTTATCTACCAACTTCTCCCATTCCCAAATGTAAGGTGCAAATGACCTTACTGACCATGCCACATCAACTGCAACCCCATCCCATCTGGCTTTCACCTTGCAGACAGAGCAATCTTCAGAAAGAAAATTTGAACGCACCACTTTCCTTCTTAAAATATGTTGGCGATGCCCTCTTTTGACAAAGTTCAGATGCATTAATCTGGTTTATAAACCCTCCAAGTGCTTAGCAGCTCCCCCTGTCTATCCTCCCTTCTTACCTCACTGTCACATTGCAACAACTCACATTTGTCTTCATCATACCCTCTTCTGCCAAAAGGCCTTTACCCTTGCACATGCTAATGTTTTCCCTGGAAGGTCTCTCCACCCCTCATTACCTGAATGATTCCTAATAATCCTTCCCTTCTCAGGTAAAGGATGACATACAGTTTCAGGATCATCTGCTCTGACCTCTCAAACTACACCAAATCCCCCACTACAACTCCTATGGCATTTCTCAGAGTACAGTTTTATTGATGTGCATGAGATTATTTGGATAATGTTTTGTCTCCCCTTGTAAGCTTTAAAAGTACCAAGTCTGTCTCTGTATTTGTCTGCCTGAGACATGGCAGACATTTATTTATACCTGGTCACTTACATGTGATCATTGTTCTTGCACTCTCTAAAACCTTTTCAGTGGTGGGAACTTGAAAAAATAATATTTATATGTAGTTCACATTTATGCATATAGTTGGTCTTCTGTATCTTCAGTTTCTGCATCCACTGATTCTGTAAACTGTAGGCATAAAACATTAGGGAAATAAATGTATCAGTAGTAAACAGGCACAGTTTTTCTTGTAATTTTTCCATAAATAATACATTATAATGATTCACATTCTATCCCATTTTACATAAGGCACTTGAGTATCTACAGATTTTTATATTTGCAGAAGGTCTTGGCATTAATTCCCTGTGCACACTGTGGGACCACTGTACACTACATTGCTTTAAGTTGAAAATATTTATGTAAGTAACATTTTAAAGCTTAGCAGTAACTCTACAGGGTTCAGAAAGTTCCTAGTGGAATAACTGATAAATAGTGGCATCCGATACAGGTTATGTATCTTAGTATAGTGGATGACTGTGATAGAAATCAGCTTTTCTAGGGCTTTCAGACTGCACTTTGTGGAGCCAAAAGAAGAAAAATTTAACTTTAAAGTGCCCAGGGTGCCATTATTCTTTACTGGTAAGACCCAAATCCTTTAGTGTTTTGCTTCACACATATCACAACAGTAAGATTATCAATATCTTTTGCTAATCTAGCTCATTTGGATGCCATGTGTGTCTTAGGTCTGGCCATAATCATAGGAAGAGTTGTGGAAGTCATATTCTAGATGAGGAGCTTCCATAAGATTAAGTATTTGCCCTAGATCACAGCTGGGAGGTAGAAGAGGTAGGACTCAAATCTAAAAGTGGTCGTTTACAAGCAGGAAGGGCTTATGAAATTGCTGATCTGGGCACAGTCCTTCAGAGAATAGACACGCGCGTGCGCGCACACACACACACACACATCAGCCCACTAGTATGGTCATACAGCACCAAAGCTTTTAAGAATGTGAG